TCGTCTGGAGAGGACGAGGAAGTACTGATTTCCGTTTCTTCGCGCGATGGCGAACTCGAAGGAGCCATTCATGAGATTCTGATGGGCGAAAACGAACATGATTAGAACGGTGGGCGTCGTTGATCTGCCTTTAAATACTGCTACCGCAGTCGGTACACGTTGACGAGATGGGCGCTGCCAAATTGATTGAAATTGGATTGTAATCGTACAAGATTTTCACGGGCAGTCTAGCTATGTGAGGAATGTCCAAATTCAAACAACGATTTACACGTACAAAGAGGACTCTTCACCACAACATGGACCGATCGAGCAGAGTTTCAAGAAATTGTCGCGCTGGAAGTTAGTAAGGGGAATAATTCCATGATCCAACCCGTCACAGCAGTTCATGATATCTTCCGAGCACAGTCGCCGCATAACATCTGCTACGGTCATGAGTCTACATTTCTGCTTCAAGTGTTGTAGAATCGAAACGACAGTCAGGGGCCCCTCCGATCCCTCCATTCTCTCACCAACTTCGTAAGCCCGATCTTCGTCGACAGACAAGTGCAGTACAATACCCGCACGAGCTGCAGCCATCGTCAAAATAAGGCTTTTAACAATCGGATCGCCACCGAAGGTTCCTGCGCCCCACAAGGGGGACGAAATCTTCTCGATCTTTAGATGGGCGAGAGCTAAGAAGCCGGTGTAAGCTTTGTGTAGATCTCGTAGGAGGTATTTAGGATGGAGATCGGTAAGAGTCGTAGAAGACTGAGATGATATGTCGAGCTCAGAAGCGTCGAGGAACAGGAATGTATGAGCAGATATGGTGAATGTCCCCAATGAACGGGCTTCTCGGCCCTGCCCTCTCCAATGCGATATTGGGACATGACCGTGTGCTAAAAGGGCTGCTTGAGAGGATACAGGAGGCGATATAAGAAGGGCTCCCAATAACAGGAGTGGTGGGCAGGCACCGGTCACCAGCTCTTCCTGAGTACAAGATGCACCGAAGCCAGGGGATTGATTTGAGGCTACAAGGGTGCATGGAACAGAGTGATGCGGAAAAGAAACCGTTCTAGTCGAAGTGGGCTCGATGACAAGGTGGTCAAAGACAAGATGGCTCGTGGAACCCATCCATACTGTCAATTCTTCTTCAGGACCCTTTGAAGGATTGGTGTAATATTGATAGGTCATTCGCGTGGTGTCATCCAAGGGCATGCTGAAGTAGTCAAATAGGAATGAAAGGTAGCCCGAGACGGCGCTTTCAAGAGGTTGGGGTTCCGAATACCAGCATACGAAGGTACAACCCCATGTATTACCTTTGGGTTGTTTGAGAGTGTTAAGAATTTGGTGCGCAAGTAAGCATTTTATTTGAGTCATTGACAGTTGGAGTTCCGGGTGTCGTGCATCGAGATAGGGTATCATATGTGTTGGGAATAGAGTAGGAAGAAGCAATGCTGCATCGAGAATGCCATTCAGCACCGATAGAGCAGTTGACGAGTGCTGATCTGGGTACTTTTCCTGCATAAAACGAGAGAGATACTGCGTGTTGAGATGGCCATCCATGTGTATCGAATATGAGAGGTCTTCAATGAGATGGGAGAGTTGGAGAAGACTGTTGGCCGAGGTCGTTTTGGTGCGAAAAGAATGGATAGAAGCAACCATAATTGCCCAAATGGAGGGATTTTCATCATCGCAGATGCCTAAAGGATCAAGACAGAGTAGGGATGGATGTGAAGGAAGAAGATAGTACTCATCGAGATCCTCCATGCTACAAAAAGTAGCCTTTGATTTGGCTTTGATTTGAATCAGAAAGTTGCAGGTAATCTTCAGTTTGACGCGAACGTGCCTGCCCTAAAGCTCGTTATACCGTGGAAAGTCATCCATTTGCTCTTCAACCTCTCGACAAACTCTCACCAGCTACACGCTCTTCTTCCAGATACCCTTCTTTCTTCTGTCAGGATGTCAGGATTCGATGCAAATCGCGTATACTCTGTTTCTGTGCACGACCTACCAGCCGCAGCATCCCCAGATTCTCCTTCGGAAACCGAGAAATTGCTCGTGGATTTCATTCTCTCATTTCGCGTCGGCGGAGAATTCATTTATCGGTGAGTGGCCTTTACCTTATCCTCGAATGTAGTACTGACTATCTTTAGTGACAAATTGCGCGGAAACATCCTTTTGAAGCAACACCTACTCGAAGTCGACCTTAGGCATGTCAGCCTGTACAATGACGAGTTAGCCCATGCAATTCAAGACAGACCTGCAGATGTCCTCCCTCTGGTAAACTCGGTGTTTTCCTACGACTCCGTGTAACTGAACCTCGTCCAAGTTTGAAAACGCAGCCACGAAAGTCGCGCGCAACATCCTCTACCCCCTAGCGAGCAACTCAGAAGACCGAACGGAAGCGGCCGCCGAGGCCATCCCCAAAGTTCAAATAACAGTCGACTCTGGCCTCAACCTCCTTCAGGTCCGCGAACTGACGGCCAACACGATGAACAAGCTTGTCCGGATGCCAGGAATTGTCATTTCATCATCTGTCCTCTCCTCAAGAGCAACAAAGCTACACCTTCAATGTCGCGCGTGTCGTTCAACAAAGATAATCTACCCTCAAGGTGGCTTGGGTGGTCTGGGAAGTGGCTCGGATCGAGGACTTCCCCGTGTGTGTGACGCGCCAGAACCTGAAGGACAAAAGAAAGACTGCCCCATCGATCCGTACCTCATCATCCATTCTAAATCCACATTTGCGGATCAGCAAACGCTCAAGCTACAAGAAGCGCCTGATATGGTCCCTGTTGGAGAGCTGCCCCGCCACATGCTCCTTAGCGCAGACCGACACTTGACAGGGAAAGTCGTACCAGGATCTCGAGTCATTGCCTCTGGCATTTATTCTCAATTCCAGTCTGCGAAGAATGTGCGTTTCTCTTAGGCTGCGTCTATGTTATCCAATTGCTGACGGCTAGATGCAGAAAAACGCCGGAACCGCAGCTTTGCGACAGCCTTATCTTCGCCTCGTCCATCTTGCATTAATGTCTCCTGCCGGAGCTGGAGGATCAAATCCATTCGGTGCCCAATTTACGCCTCAACAAGAAGAAGAGTTCGGAGAAATGTCAAGAAGCGAAGGATTTTATGAACGTTTCGCAAAAAGTGTCGCCCCCAGTATCTTTGGAAGCCTTGGTATGTCGCGCTCTATGTCCGTTTCGAATATTTGCTGATTGCCTTTATAGATATTAAAAAGGCGATTGCTTGTTTACTGTTTGGTGGTTCAAAGAAAGTTCTTCCCGATGGTATGCGTCTGCGTGGGGACATCAACGTTTTGTTGCTCGGTGACCCAGGTACTGCGAAGAGTCAGTTGCTCAAATTCGTCGAAAAGGTGAGTACGCGCGTTTGGGGGATTCTTTACCAATCTCACACCACCTTCAGGTCGCACCAATTGCCGTCTACACGTCTGGCAAAGGTTCTAGTGCTGCAGGTCTTACAGCATCAGTCCAGCGGGATTCCGTTTCTGTATGTTCTCTGAAGTTGCATTTATTTTCATCTACTGAACTGGGATGACAGCGCGAATTTTACCTGGAAGGTGGAGCAATGGTTCTTGCTGATACCGGAGTTGTCTGCATCGACGAGTTCGATAAAATGCGAGACGAAGATAGAGTGGCCATCCACGAAGCCATGGAACAACAAACTATTTCGATTGCTAAAGCTGGAATAACGACCGTGCTGAACTCGCGGACAAGTGTACTGGCGGCTGCTAATCCAGTATTTGGTAGATATGATGAAGGAAGAAGTCCCGGAGAGGTAAGTGGGGTTTGTGTGACTTGACTTGAAGATGGTGCTTAGCAGACAATTTTCAGAATATCGATTTCCAAACAACCATTCTGTCACGTTTCGATATGATCTTCATCGTAAGAGATGAACACAACGAGACCAGAGATAAAGTCAGTCAATTCGAGTCCATGGTCGTCTCTTATCTCACATTGTTCTATAGATGATTGCCAAGCATGTCATGAACATTCATATGAACCGACCTAACGTTAACGGCGATGAAAATGGCAATGCCGTTGGCGAAATCCCCCTGGAGAAGATGAAAGGATACATCGCTTATTGTAAAAGGTGTGAAGAGACAAAGACGTTGTCCCATCCATCGCTAATTAACCGGATAGCAAATGTGCCCCACGGCTATCAGCGGAAGCGCAGGAGATGTTGAGCAGTCATTTCGTCAGCTTGAGAAAGCAAGTACAACAAGTCGAACAAGATAACGACGAACGGAGCTCGATCCCGATTACAATTCGGTCAGTATCATTGTCCTCTTACGCATGACCTGATCCCGAAGCTGAGATATATTAATTTAGTCAACTGGAAGCTATCATTCGCATATCTGAATCGCTGGCCAAGATGACATTAACGCCAGTCGTCCAGAACCACCATGTCGAAGAGGCTATCCGACTATTCAAATTCTCGACGATGGACGCTGTTTCTGCTGGTTCCGCCGATGGCCTTTCACGAGGAGAACTAAACGAGGAAATGATAAGAATTGAACGCGAACTCCGAAGACGACTGCCAATCGGGTGGAGTACAAGCTACCAAAGTCTTGTCCGCGAGTTCGTAACACAGCAAAGTTATTCAAGTCATGCACTTGAGAGAACGCTATTTATCATGGAAAAGCGGGAGATTATTCGCTTCTCTGGTCAGGTATGTCCTCTCTCCTCCTCGTAGGATGGGATATCTCAAAGATTATTTTGCGACTTCACAGAAAAAAGTTGTTCATAGGCAGGTCGACTTCACGATTCTTAAAATCTCTTCCTAACCTATCGTTTGTTTACAGGGTTGGTGTTTGAGTTGAAATTGAGAGTCGTGCTATCCTGCTGTTCGCTTACACGTATTGTATTTATTGAAATCTCATGTACTTATTAGCATTCTGGACGATCGATTTGTACGTATGGATAGGAAACGCGAAGGAAACTACTTACAAGAACAAGGTTTACCTGTGATGAGGTCGAGTTTATACATTTTATACATTAAACATCGCCCGCCTAGCTCAATCGGATAGAGCGTCAGACTTTTACGAAGGTCCGGGTGATCGGTCACTTAGTGATCTGAAGGCTGCGAGTTCGACCCTCGCGGTGGGCTAATGTGTTACTTTTTTGACAATATTGTGTTGAAAGAAATACCTTGTGTTAGCCCCAGGCTCCTAAACCATCCTCTCGTTCGAGAATCCTCTTCATATAGGGTAGATAGGATGTTATCTAATCTTTGTTATCTAAGGACAAATAAATGACAACACAACTTACGATGGGGATTCTCGACAGAGAGGCTGGCCTTCTTTGGATTCGGTGATCTCGGGCATACCTCACAAAACCTAACGTAGGGCTTAATTTATTGGGTTGCTGTTGATATGTCAGCACATCAGTCACCGGTTGTCACATCTACTAATAATTCTTCACTCGTACAAATGCGCTCGACGCAAGCTTTGATGAGCGTAAATACTAGCACCAAGTCCATCATCCTGTCCACACTCTCTCGTTATGTCTCTGAAATATCTCCGCTGAAAAATTTAATTACTAGTCAAGCTGAATAGCACCCAAATAGCACATCACCTCTGCCCTTTCCTCTCCATTAAATGAGGAGTCGGCAAAGCATCTCAACGGCTGAACTTACACAAAATTGAGTTAGATACGCTGCACACTACCTTGCATGGACAATTGTTTGAGATTGGGTGCTGTAACGGTACTTCTAACTGTTCAATGTGGCCATTGGACGCTGACAGACGCTGGCATCCGGAAATTAGCCGCTTGACCCACTGGTCACTGTTCGAACCATGCACGGAGACACCCAAAGTCATGCCGATATACAATATTATCTATAGTAAGGGTATCTTAAAGCTTCAATACTGCTTTTGGGGATGGTTCGTAGTCGTACGGCTTGTGGTGTGGCAAGAATTGAAGAAGTCACACAAGCAAAGAAAATAAACCTTCGGCTAGGTTTTGTGAGGTATGCCCGAGATCACCGAATCCAAAGAAGGCCAGCCTCTCTGTCGAGAATCCCCATCGTAAGTTGTGTTGTCATTTATTTGTCCTTAGATAACAAAGATTAGATAACATCCTATCTACCTTATATGAAGAGGATTCTCGAACGAGAGGATGGTTTAGGAGCCTGTGTTAGCCCCAGAAATCCTGTTCTGTTTTACTCTAGTTATCAGCGTGTCCTAAACGACGTTGATCAGGTGCTATTATTATTAATTAATTCAGGTGGAGAGTCACATGGTGCCTTTAGGAAAGTCATTCACATTAGGCGCGGCGACAAACATTACTGACCTGCTCTTCCGACTTGCTCTTCTGAGTCGTTATTGTGTACCACACCCTCGTGTACCAGCTGTACTTTCTTTTGCTTTGGCCACTCACATGAGCGCGATGGATACCGACGAGATTTCCGTGGTTCTACCTCCCACAACTACATCTGGCTTGGCTCTTTCACTGTAAGAACGATTCTCCTGAACTCGAAGCTTCATGTGTTCAGTCTCTAAATCAGCCATCCTCTACCGATCTTGAACATATCAGATCATTGGACGAGATCGAAACTTCAAAAGAACTCTCTGGATCCCTTTGGTTCGTCTCCCTTTTATCGATTAATATCTCATATCTGACATCCTGCAGTGCTGGGCGCTCTTCTTGGAACACAAAATGGGCGCGACGTAGAGATTGTAAACACCTTTGAACTCGCGGTGGTTGGCGAAGATAATGAGTTGGTGGACCACGAATTTCTTGTCTCGCGACGCGACCAATGTATGCCCTGTTCATCTAAGACCTTTGATTCCAGAAGGCGCTGATATTCTTCTCAGACAAACAAGTGTTTCCGTCGCTAGAGTTCATTGGATGGTATACCATTACACCCAAGCCCACGGCGCGACACATTGCCCTCCACGAACAAGTGGGTCAGAAGTTGGAATCCGAATTCAATGTCTTACTGACTCATATCTAGTTCACAGGATATTGTTCTACCCCGCTTTTACTCATCCTACAGCCGAGTCTTGCTCTGGTCTCCAGCACTGATGTCAATGCCCAGACACTCCCATTTAAAGCATACGAACCGACGATCGAACTTAGAGACCGTAAATCACGTTCGGTATATATCGAAGTGCCCTACAACGTAGAAACAGGAGAGGCAGAACGTATTGCCGTAGATTGGACAGCGAGGGGAGGAGGTAGCGGGACAAGCTGTAAGCTAAAAGTCTACTATTTGAAAGCCTACCTTGACGATTCTCTTTTTAGTGGAATCACATTTGCAAACTCAAAGATCGGCTGTGAAGATGTTGCACGAGCGCATTCTCATACTCATCAAATATGTAACCGATGTAATTGCAGGTATGTACTACATGGTATACTCTGTCGTGCCTCATAACCTACATTTCTTCTAGGCACTGCGCGTTCAGATCATACTATTCTGCGGTCCTTGGTTGCCCTTCTCGCGTCTTTACCCGCATCAGAGAACAAGCATTTTAGGGAAGAGTTTGACACCGTAAGTTCCTTGCTCAGTTTATTTCACGATCACCATCTGATTGTTCTCGACGGCGGACAGGAATACGAAGACGTTCAATTGACCGCTTTCCTCTCTTCTCTCACAAAATCGACAAACATTCTAAATGACGTGAGCGGTTTCTATTTACCATTGCCATAGAACGATCTAAATTTTCTTGCAGCTTGTCGACAAACACATCGTGTTGACTTCTGGAAAAGATGAGAGAGGAGGACCTCGTAGAAGAATGGGAAGACAGGGTGGCCCTGGTGAATGGGACCGTTTCCACTGATCGCTTTCTTCTCTGCTTTCCAGCTGCTCTGTACATCATGCTCTCAAGAATGTCGTCGCTTGTACCCTTATCCAACACTTGCATCAATGACATACATATTCGTCCTGCAGTCGAATCATAATGAATTAGATGGGGCCACTAGCCGTGATAATACATGGTATATATAATGATAACATCATGCGAGAGGATATCGTCCGTACAAGATACAATGCAAAGAACACATGCAGATAAATAAATAGATGATGATGACTACCAGTAAAGCATGTTATACAACAACAAAGTCTTTCACATATCGCGAAAGTGGAATGAGTGGGGATAGATAGAAATCAGGCAAAAGATCTATTTTCCTTTCTCAGACGCTACATCACAATCCACGTCAATTGAGATTTTGGCTTTCTGGAAGCAGAGAAAAAAAACGTACGCATGGCAGGTGATCGACTGGATCCTCGAGACAAGAGCCCTTTACTGGCGCTCGACAGCATACCAGACACTCTCCCTTTCTCTTTATCCTTTCGAGGCGAGCCTTCAAAATTGTCTCCCTGCAAGGTATCATTTCGAGACGATGCTGGTGACGGTGACGGCCGCTTGACGTTGGACTTGAGCTTATGCCAAAGGGTCGGTATTGCTGGAGAACCAGTAGCTCGTGGACCAGCACGAACTGTCGGCTCTGGCAAAACCGATTTCAAGCCAATCAACGTACGATCACTATTGTGATCGGGTATGGCGCCGAGACGCTCCTTTCCTTGTCTTGAAGCGGTTGGTTCAGGAGTTGGGTCAGCAGCTTGCAATCTATGCGCAAGATCCGAGGACCCAGTATACGATGACGGAGCAGACGTATCCGGCGGTGACGACACATGACTAGGGCCCACCTCCGAGCTAAGGATGCTGGACTGCGACGTAGTCGGAGACGACGACGTCAAGGCCTCCTGCTCTGTGTCAGCTTCCTCGACGACGGAACCGTCTGACTCCTCGGTCAAAGGATCATTGCTAGCCGTCGCGGCTGTCCTGCGATCCTCCTCCATTTCGAAGACGCCAGAAGTTCTCAACTCTTGATCCTCTGCGGAGACGAATTCTTCGAGCACGCGTCTCCTATAGACGCTTGTGGTAGGTGAATTGAGCGTTGTTGCGAAGTCCCAGGAGTCGATGGAGTTGGCAGACAGAAGAGCCGGAATGACGCGACGTTCTTGCCGTTGTGTGAGCGGAGGAAGGTCCTCTATCGACGCAAGTCAGTATTTAAGATATACTTTAGGAGAAGGATGTTATTACTTAGGATAGTGTTAATCAGGTAGGATTTCTTCTTCGCTGCTTTGAAGAAAGGGGTCTGTAGTAATTCCTCCGCTGTTGGACTTGCAATAACCTTCAGATTAAAATTGAATATCGTGAAAAATACACGAACCGCTTTGCAGGATCTTTGACCAGACAACTATCCACGACATCTTTAAATGCACGAGAGTATTTGTATACTCCTCCATCACGATTCAATGTTGGAGGATCTTCTTGAATACTAGGAAGAATACGGTTATTGTTGCATGCAATACAAGACAGCAAAAATGCTTACGTCCTAAGTAATACTCGCTGGGGAGACTCTCTGGATCTTGGAGGCCGCCCTTGTGTCAACTCCAGCGCCGTAATGCCAAAACTCCAGATATCTGCTTTGGAGTCGTATTGCTTGCCCTGAATAAGCTCAGGCGACATCCAACAGGGCTATTCAACGTATGAGACAAGGTAAATCATCGGAAGAGAATGGGCCGCACCGTTCCAACGAAAGACTTGCGCTTTCCTATCCGAGGTTTAGGAGCCCCGTCGTCAAAGGCTACAGCCCGTTTTGCATTGTTGATAGCAGATATTGAGGGCACCACCTGAGAATCGGCGAGTGGAGGCTTGGCTGTGACAGAACCCAGCTCTGTAGAAGTGGAAGATGAGTGGACATGAGACGTGTCTTCGGCGAGGTCGGCAGCTACTCCTAGATCCCCGAGCAACACCGTTCCGTCGTCGTCGATTAGCAGGTTCGCGGCTTTGACGTCACGATGGATGAAGCCATTTATGTGCAGATAGCTAGAACAGGCAAATTAATTAATTCAAGCGCCCTGGGATGAGGGGATAGGAGGACGAACTTGAGTCCTTTGAGAGCTTGCCGCAAAATACATCGCACTACGTCCTCTTCCATACCTCCTGGCCATCCGTAACGCATGACGTCTGCAGCGCTGCCTTTGTTCATTAGTCGAAGAGCAATATAAAGCTTGTGACCTTCCATCCATGATCCACGGACACGCAATACATTGGGGTGTTTTGAGAGTGACATGAGCGTTGTCTCTCTTTGCAGCAG